CCCCCACGGGGCCCTCCAGGGGCCAGCTCGCCACCGCCCCCCAGCACTTCACATTGGGCTCTTCAGAGCGTGCGTTGAGTCCTGCCCCCGTGGGCACCATTCGCCCCCCAGCTGGTGGGCGCTCGGTGCTCTGCGATGGCCACGTGCGGTGGCCGAGCTGTCTGGCCTCGTGCCCTGCAGCGCTGCTGTCCCGCTGCACCGGGGCGCTGGCGGTGCCCACCCAGGGAACCGGGCTCCCCCTGCCCGCTTCAGCTTTAACATCTTGCTTGTGGCCACAGAAGCCGGTCTCCCACGGTTTGTGGGCCAGCGACCGTTAACTGTAGGGATTTTCCTTAAGCGAGGGCAGTTTGCTGGCTTTGCGTTTGCTAACCTGCGTCTGTGAGTCGCCGTGCAAGCCTAGGTGGAGATGACACCTTCTTTTCAAGTCTTGCTCTCCTTTGCTCAGTGCTTGGCTCTCGTCCTGTCCACTCTGTCATCTTTCCGTCGAAGGCTTTTAGCTCGCTGGAGCGAGCTGGAAGATGTTTCTCATATTTGTGGGACAACTCATTGTTGACATTTAAGAAGTGCCACGCAGCTCTGAGCTCAGCAGCGATGCAGCCCTCGGAGCCGGCAGTAAACGGGCCTTTTCTCCACTTGGCTGTTGGAAAGGGCATCTGGGAGAGATCAACGGATGTTGGGCCAGAAGCGTGCGAGGTGGTGACCGTCAGCAGCGGGCGATGTCCAGCACAGCGCTCTGGGTTGCTGGAGGCTGGGTAGATGCCGCAAGAGCTCAGCCCATGCGAAGCAAAGGCAGAAGTCGATAAATTAAAGCACAGCAAACTCCCCTCTGTCCTATGAAAAAAATCTATTGTGTGATTTTCTTTGCTTTCACACCATTGCTATAAGTACGACAAAACTAAGTGGCAAAGGCAGAAGCTTCATTTCCAAAGGTTTCCTTATCTGTGGCTTTGGAGCTGTGTGTCAGCTCCAAAAATAATCCAGAAATCCACAGGTGAGGCAGTTAAGGAGAAAAGTTCACCTGGTTGACTTGGGCTGTTGCACCCACTCCTCCTCCTCCCACAAAGCACTTTCTCAAGCTGTTTACAGCCATTTTCTTACAGCATTTCTCCACTGCACTTTTTTTTAACTGATACTCATGTGGTCCACAGGTCTGGAGGAGGGGGGGAGGCTTTCAGAGCCTGTTGCCAGGTACATTAGCTGAATTCAGTTTTTCAGGGGTTTGGGCATGTAGTGAGGATGAACATACTTTGTTGGGAGTTTGGAGACAGCAACATCGCTTAGATGATAGAAAACGAAGTGATTTCACTTATCATCTGCCAGCACTTTGGGTGTTGCCTTTCCGAGGATCTCAGCCCCAGGCCCTTCTGGTGACATTGCAAAAGGCTGCCAGTGAAGCATCACCTGCGCCAGCACTGTCTGAGGCTGCTCCTTTATCTGATGACCTCATTACGTGTTTTTCTTTCATGAACTGGAAGCACAGTGTAAAATCAACCACCATGAAACGTTTGCTGTCAGAGGCTGCTGTTGGGAAAGCACCAGTCCTTATGCACAGTGTGGTGGTGTCTGTTAAGGCTAAACGTGTAGCAACCCACCATGTATAGAACAGACTAGCAAAAATAAGCAAACAGGTAGAGGCTGAGGACCTGCAGGATTGCCTGGCGTATCCCAGAGGGATTATTTCTTGTCTAGTAGTCCACAGGATTTAATGTCCCCGCCCCAGCGCACTGCATCCTTAATAGGAATGTGTTTAAACTCGGCAGATATTTTTCCTTTGCTGAAGGTGATAGGATGAGGTATGCCTGGTGAACTTAAGCTGTTGTTGCATTTGATTTTTAGTTGCTTAGTAAAAATATTAAGCTGCTCGCTTGTTTTCTACCTCTCCTACAGTGTATAATTGGACAGTTGACGAGGTGGTTCAGTGGCTCATTACCTACGTAGAGCTGCCACAGTACGAAGAGACCTTCAGAAAGTTGCAGCTGAGTGGACATGCCATGCCCAGGTCAGTGCTCACTGCATCGCCTTGTGTTCCTCTGGGATGTGTGCCAGGGAGAAAAACAGATCTGAGGCGGCTCATAACATCATGTGCAATTCCTCGGCATGTACAGAGCCAAGTCTAATTCCTGTTCCGCTTCGGTTATGTTTAGAGGCTTCGGCTTTGCTGTAGTCCTCTCTGCAGGGAGTGATTTAGCCATAAGTGAGCGTGTATCTGCTGTGGGTGAAAGGAGAGGCTGCAGTCCGAATTGTGTGGTTGTGAATGCTGTCCTTGCTGGTTTGTATGCTGGACTTCACCTGCCTGCGCCTGGAGCTGCATATTTAGAGCTAAAACCCTGACCTGGAACAAAGCAGACCTAGGCTATGTCCTGGCTCTGCCACAGCCTTCCTTCATAACCCCAGCCCAGTCGTGGAGCTTCTCTGTCATTGTTCATCGTCCTCGGCAAAATGCCATCTCTGCTTTCCGGGTTGCATCTAAGTAGCGTTTAAGTTCCCAGTTCAAGGGCGACTGGTTATGTATCTCTGCACCAGCCAGCACTGATGTTAATTCACACCCCTTGATCCTCCAGCAAAGGAGACTTCTGAGTTCCTCAAGAGAAACGCTGGCTATGAGTTGGCCTAAACTCGTAACAGGTTTGAAAAAACTCAGTGCAGCTTTTTGGGTAAAGGTTATTGTCACTGAAAAGGGGCCTGTAAACTGACTGGGAAGGAGGGATTAACTGGGAATAAAGTAAGGTTTTTGAGGCAGTGCATGGCATGCCCACGTTTCTTCCAAGTGGGAAGTACAGTCTTATGGTCTATGAAATAAGATGTCAAAGGCTAGCAATATAGGTTTGATTAAAAAAAAAAAAAAAAATTAGTGATTGGTGGACACCAAAAGATCAGTTTTGATAGAAAATCAGTAATTTAGGATTAATGAAATAGGCGTGGCCTTGGCTTTTCCTTCTCTCTCTCTCGGAGTAAAGCCAAAGACACTGCTGCTTAACTCTTTCACAGAGGGTATCCTATATCAGAGATGACAATATTTGAGGGATTTATTTTGTCCTGATAGCCCAAGCAGGGAGCTTTCAGGTCCTGCTCATTGCATTTCTCCTCCTGTAGTCTCCATGTTACTAATTTTTGGTCAGTTATTAATCCAGATGGATATTACCATGCCTACTTCTTTTTTTACATATTTTTTTTTTTTTTTTTTTTTTTTACAGGCTAGCAGTGAACAACGCTACCATGATGGGAAGTGTTCTGAAAATGACAGATCGAAGCCACAGGCAGAAGCTGCAGCTGAAAGCTCTGGACACGGTGCTGTTTGGGCCTCCTCTCTGTAAGTACCAAAATTCAAAGTCCTTCGGCTGTTCATCAAGACGATCTGTGTCTGCTCAGTATCGAACAGCAAAGATAGATCTGTGTGAACCAAACTTTGTCCTACGCAGCCTCACCTAGGTAGATTGTCCCTGGTATAGTTCCCCTGAAACAGGAACAGGTTGCCTCTGGATTTATCGGAGCAGCTCTGTAGCCCGGAGGCATCCTGCCTGCTGGGCTTGCGTTTCCACCTCTGACAGGCGGCTCGCAGGGGTGCGGACCCACTGTCCTGCTGGGATCTCCCGTGTCCGTAGGGTAAAACCTCCCTGCCCTTCCTGTTCGTTGTGGTGCTGACCGTGTGGTGAGGTTTGCAGCTGCCCCGAAGGGGATCCGTTGGGAGGGCAGCCACCTTGCCTGCTCGGAGGGAAGCTGCTGCTGGGGAGACCTGGGGCTCCGTCGGTGACTCGGGCTGCAGGTTACCCGCCTCTGGACGAGGGAAATAGCAACGCAGGCTGGATGGGAAGGCATTTAGGATGGATGAGAACAAGGGACTGAGTTCCTTTGATGCCGATAATAGGCTTCTGTTGGCACGATCTCGAAGCCCTCTGATGCTTATCTCGGCGCTGCTCGGGGTGCTCCTTTTGCATTCGTTCTGTCTGGCTCATGTCTACTGTCTCTTTATTAAAGGTACTTTCATCTCTCTCCCTCTTACTCATGTCTTTCTCATGTGCTTTAGATGCTTTTGTGAGGTGAACAGAAACCTTGCCTGATCAGGCCCTGTTTCTGCTTGGCATGGTGCTGACGAGATGGATTTTTAAGGCAGACTGTGTTGCCTGTACACGATTTGAGCCCTCTTACGCAGCGCTCCTCTGTCCCTTGTAGTTGTCTTGTCTCCCCTGTGCGGGAGGTCTAAAATGAATGCGAAGGGGTACTTTCTTACCATGGTGCAAATGCAATAGTCTGGGTGCAAATTCTGGCCCAGGAACTCCCACGGCTTTGATTGCTGATGGCTGAAGGTTTACACCATCGAAAATACCACTTTGTGCTTCCTCTGTTCTTTACTTGGTTTTTTTAAGCATCTGCTCCTGTCTGCTGCTGGAATAGCAGATAGGATGTACCTTTACTCTGCAGGACACGGATGTGCTGACAATCTAATGGAGAAGTTGAGTTTTTTTGGCTTTTTTCCAGCCTTCCCTTTCTGGGCTGCCCAGCACTTGGCCAGTGGGAAGTGATAAGGCGTTTCCATTATTTCTTCAATTCTCTTTTTTTTTTTTTTTGAAGTCCAACTGTTAGTGCAGTCTTTTCTTGCTTTCAATCTATGTCCAAATTCCTGAGAAAAGGTGCAGTGAGGCAAATCCTGGGAAAACTGGCTGCGCAGAGTAAACCAAGTGAAATTTATGAGGCTTGGCAGAGATACAAGGTAAGTGAATTAGAAGTCTAGGTTATACAGTCAGCCATTTTTGCTTCCCATTGTTAAAAAGCATATATTCATTCAGGCACAGTCTGCTTTTTTTATTTATACTTGCCTGTGTTACAAGCGAAGCTTTTCGGTCAGTCAGTGGCGTTGCACAGGGGTGGCAGAGACATCGTGGGTGAGTGCCTGCTGGTGCGGCTCACCCGACAAAGGCTCGAGCCCAGTAACTCCTGTGCTTGGAGGGGGAATTTTTCAGGCGGTTCTTGGATGCTCTGTAAATGGCAAAGTAAATTACTTGTAATGGTTTGAGATTAATGGCCGTTCTCCGTGATTGAGGTACTCTGTTTCAGCACGCGGCTGTTGTGGCACTGGAATATGAACCTCCTCCGGTCACACAGATGAAAGCGTGCAGTGAACCGTCCTGATCGGCTTGTGTCAGATCTGTAAGGGTTTGTTACAGATTTTGCGATCTGCATACGTATCGGGTATGTGAATAGAGGAAATACGCTTTACTTTTTTAGCTGAAGTAGAGATTTAGCACTTTTTAGAAGGCAATATTTGCTATTTTCTGGTTAACTGAATGGATTTGTCTCCAGCTCATTCTGCGGTGTATGGTGAGAAGTTGTTTATCTAAAACTGATTCCTTAAGGAATGCGTTGTGAAACAGCAGTTTTCAACAGCCATTAGCAATCGGCGGTTTCGGGAAGTACTCGGTGACCTTTTAAGCTGCAGAAGCAGCATTCGCGCAGTGACAAGATTTAGTGGTTTCAGATACATTCCTGTTATGGTTCTTTTCAGACGGTCAGTGGAGGTGGTCTCCTGTGATCTTTGCTGTTGAGAGAGGGAAGCTGCTGGCAGTGGGATGTGGCTCACAGGTGCAGGATTTCAAGGGTTTGTCTTCTCTCTTGACAAGGGTTTTTTTCTCTCTTGAAGCCACTTTCTACTCACCGCAGGTATAAAAGCATTAAAATAAAATCAGCCTAGATTGGAGCCCCGTGACTGCTTCCTGCAGACTCATAAAACCAGAGACATCTCATTGTCGGTGGGGATTATAGCACACGTACCAAGGTATGGTTCCTCACTGCCTCATGAAGCTGGGTGAAGCTTAATCCTATCCCAGGGCTAGAGAGCTCCTTCTCTGATGTCTCCTGTAATTTGTTGCAGAGCCTTCAGCAAGCATCGGGTAGTTGAGTGGGGCACCTGGCCACTTTCCTTGCTGATCAGTAGACTCCTGTAGTCCCACAAGGTCTGATTTCCTACGCCAGACTCCAGACGTGCCATTTCCTTCTTCAGACAGGTCGGCTCACTTGCAGGGTTGCAGCTCTGTAATTAATCCAAGTGCGAAGGAATATGGTAAAATCGTAATCTAAGCGAGATGAAGCGGTTGCTTCTTCTGTGTCTGTGTCCCATCGGTGTCCTGTTCCTGTGGTTCAGGAATTTATCCAGCACAAAATACCACAACTTCAGGTGAAACAGGAGAGGGGAATTTAAGAAAACAAGCAGTAAAATTCAAAACAATAGATATTTTTGCTGAAAAGTGAATTTAGATTTTTATTCTTTATAACTCTCAAGTGATGGAGACTGAGACATATGTCTCCTCACAGATGGTTCAAGGCACCACATTTGGGGTTAAAAGACAGACAAAATGCTGTGCACTGAGTTACCCATCCTGGTGACTTCTCCTGGCCACCTCTCCAAAGGCCATCGAAGTGGGACCTGTATGTTGCCTGTGGGAATTCAGGAGAGGTTTCCGTAGCTCCACTTCCCAGGACAGAAGTCCACCAGACGTAATTTGTTTCACAGCTGGGCGCAAGCCACGACTGTTTGCCAAGCCACTGCCCAACCAGTACCTGCCCTGGGCTCTGCTGGGGGGAGCTTGCCCGGCACTGGGGAGCACTGCACCCCTTGGCCTCAGCCCCCCCCAGGGGCCAGCTGAGCACCCTGACGCCCATCGTCCTGGTTTTGGTGCACCCCGGTGCCTCCCGTACCGTACCGAGCTGCCTGCATGGGTCCTGCAGCGCTGTGGGACGGGGTCTCTGCCGTTCCCCCAGCCCTTCTCGTTTGCGGTCATCGTTAGCTGTCATCCTGAGCGTTGCCCTTTATTTATTGAATGTCTGCGTGGGTTAACAGAAGCACAAGGACCGGGTGCCTGGACAAGGAGATGTTTCCCAGACCAGGAGGTGGCACGTGTTGGAGGTTTCTGAAAAAACTGACCTTTTTTGCTTTTCATTAAGTGTCTGTTCCTTGTTGCCCGCTCTCCGGGGTGGATGAAGCCGTGTTTCCTTCGGTATAGCTTCCAATAGAGCTGATTTGTTTCCCTTTATTATCATTAAAAGCATATTTGACAAGTACTTTGAGATCCGCTGAATCATTATTTGTTTAAAGCAATAGAATTTCTTAACCAAATACCAGATTAATTTATCACTGTGAGATATACCATTCACTTTAAATATTTACAGTTAACTGGATTGTGTTTAGATTACCTGCACCTAGAGAGAAAAGCAGCTCTGTCCCATTAATAGCCTTCATAGGGTCCGTTAGTGTTGTCGTATGGTTTTCTCAGTCCGTGTGCCGGCAGCACCTGGTCAATAAGCTGGGGCTTTAGGTTTGGGTACTCCTTAAGGAGCTCCGAACCTGAAAAGCCAAAGAGTGGGGTAACAGAGAAATCTGGCTGGTCTTATGGTGTCCTACTGCCGGTGAAAATCAGCACATTTATAAAAGCTTCTCTACATAATTGTCTTGTGGGTCCACTGGCAAACAAAAAAGAATGTTCAAGTACTCGAGAAAGGACTGAAGCTTGGTATAGACAGAAAAATTACAGGTGCCATCAGGGGAATTTATCGAGCTGTTAGCTTGGTTTGGGTTTTTTAAAAATGGAGGTTTTTTTGTATTTTGTTTTATGTTGTCGTGCTTATAGCAGCTGCCACCAGGCCAGCGTTAGAGGGAACGGTGCCTGTCCCACAGCTGTACCCTGAGGTGGTGGTTCTTCCCTGTCTTGTGTCTGAAAACGCCTGCTACTAAACAAGGAAGGTGGCATCACTGATCCAGTTAATTCACATAGGGAAATTAAAACGTTAGTAATTCCTGTGTGTGTTTTTTCTGATATTTCAACTTTAACATAAACAACTGGTGTAGAACTTACTGAGTTTGTAGTTTTTCTCTTATTTTATAAATGTTTATGTAAGTTGCTGTAGAATTGCTGATTTTCTAATAATCCGTGCTAGTTTTATTCCCAAAGTAAAGCTTTGAAACTTTTTGTTTAAAAATTGAGGCTTTGAATTTGTATCTTTCATGGTGGGACTCTTTTGCTTAAGACACCTGAGGTTACTGTTAAGTTTTTACTATTGTACAGCTTTTTACCTTGCTGCTTTAAAACATAAAACAAAGGCAGTGCTGCAAACCTGACGTGACATTAATGGTCTTGCAGTCAGTTTTCCCTGGTGTACGTTGCTTTTTCCTGCAGCTTTTGCAAGCCTAACACATGCCCAGGTTTGCCCGGTCGCGGTTGCTGGTGCTGGGAGCGAAGGGGTGAAGCGGCGCAGGAGCAGCAGAGCAGAAGAGGCCACACGCGAGCAGGGAGAACAGGCTGTGCCAGCCCGTGTGCAGGC